ACTATGAATGGCGTAGTGGTAGTGCCTCCCACTTTTGTGGGATTCCGGCTCATAGCTCTGTACCAGAAGCAGGATACTATGAATGGCGTAGTGGTTGTGCCTCCCACTTCTGTGGTCTCAGATTCGAGTCCTGGACTTGGTATCTCATGTGAGTGAAGTTTGTTAGGTTTCTTCCTTCATTCGACGGTTTTTCTTTGAGTTCTCCGGTTTTTCTCCCTTCAAAAAACCTAAAAAGCTAAAAGAAGCTAAATTTCAATTCGATCTGCTTTGAGTTATCCGTGCCCTGCCTTTAATCAGCCCAAAGGTTGATTTGTACGATCTGTGAGCCGTACCCTGTCTTTGATCACTCAGAGGGTTTTTTAGAGTACGACCTGTGAGTTAGCCGTACCCTGTCTTTGATCACCCAGAGGGTTTTTAGGGTACGATCTGTGAGTTAGCCGTACCCTTTCTTTGATCACCCAAACTCTGTATCGATAAAAATCGAAGGTATCAGCAGCAAAAAAGGACATCATTTAAATTACTTGAGCAGTTGTCCGAATTGGAAAGCCCTGAAACTAATACATCAACATTACTTTTCCTTATATGTTATTTTTTTCGTATTTTATGGTCGCGGACCATGGTTGAATTTTGTGTTTAGCAATAAATAAAATAAAATATTAACAAAAAATAGAGACTAATGATCTCCGCTTCAAGCAATGCAAAAAGGCATGCATGTTGCTTTAGAATTTAAAAAAAATGTTCATTTGAAAATACTGTCCATACCTGAGACAAACTTGTGCTTCGGAGCTACCTTGGTATACAGTATATAGCAAAATGTCGAAGATGTTCGGCCTTACCACCTTAATATACACCTATTTCAGAAATCGTTGTCGCATGAAAAACCTCAAGCAACAAGCCAAGACCGCAGAGAACACTGATACTTTTAACTGTAGTTTATTCATGGTACATTTTCATTTATTGACTTCACAAATTGCTCCAAGCAAGGCTGCTTGAGGTGATAATTAGTGGAAAGCTATAGCCACTTGCATTAACCATGAATATAAATCAATTATGATTAAAACTTTCGACGTTCTCTGGAGCCTTGGCTTGTTACTTGAGGCTCTTGGTGCGACAACGAAATAGGTGTATATTAAGGAGGAACTGCATACAGAGCCCTGTGAAATCATATGCGTCTGGAAACAAATTCTACATTAACGCGCACAACATGAACCTTCTTAATTCAAAACGGTTATTCAAATCATAGACACACTTCTACTTCCTTGCTGTCTCGGTCTCACTGGATTTCTTTTATTATCATAATTTTGAAAATCAAATATATTCTTTTTGGCGAGAGAAAATTTAAAGATGGTGATTTGAATTTGATATGTATTTTTTGATTGATATCGTGTATGTTCAGACTGTGAAGTGGCAATCCTATTTACTCTAGTTTTGATTTTTCTTTTTCTTTTCTTTTCTTTTCTTTTTTTTTTTTTTTTTTTTTTCGCTCCATGGGTATTTTTTTTGATTTATTTTAATCAAAAATTTGTCAAGATTATAGGAAATTTAACGGTAGAACGTATTTCGGGCAATCGGGTTAGATCGATTTATTTAGTTTCAAAGTAAGTGGACATCTCAGTCACATCCAATCCATCTCAGTCACATCCAATCCATCTCTGTCACATCCAATCCATCTCTGTCACATCCAATCCATCTCAGTCATATCCAATCCATCTCTGTCACATCCAATCCATCTCAGTCACATCCAATCCATCTCAGTCTCATCCAATCCATCTCAGTCACGTCCAATCCGTCTCAGTCACATCCAATCCATCTCAGTCACATCCATCAATCTCAGTCACATCCAATCCATCTCAGTCACATCCAATCCATCTCAGTCACATCCAATCCATCTCAGTCACATCCAATCCATCTCAGTTTCATCCAATCCATCTCAGTCACGTCCAATCCATGTCAGTCACATTCAATCCATCTCAGTCACATCCATCAATCTCAGTCACATCCAATCCATCTCGGTCACATGCAATGCCTCTCAGTCACATCCAATCCATCTCAGTCACATCCAATCCATTTCAGTCACGCAAAGTCGCTCCCTCATGGTCTTATGAAGCGGTTCGTTCAGTGAATGGAACTTTGATGCTCCTAATCAACTCTTTAAACCATCTATCATCTATCATGATCAACACATCTATCATCTTTAAACCATATAATTCGTCCACTAAGTGTCTTTCTTTATCTAATTCTTTTTTTTTTTTTTTTGCTTTCGTTGACCAAAACATACAAGCTTTCGGTGATCATCAAAAAGGTCCTTTCAGTGGATGCCAAAAAGTCGCTACTTTATTTATCGCCTCCTAAAGTTTATATCCAATGAAAGGACCTTTGAAGCTCCTAAACAACTCCCATACCATATTCGTCTATTATGTTTCTTTTAATTTATTTGGTTTTATTTTTTGTTTTACGTTGCAAAAAGGATGTTCAATAAATTTTCACATTCAAAAAGGCTGTTAAATAAATTTTCAATGAATTTCATTCATGGTCTCATGACTAGTTCACATCCAGTGAATGGACATTTAAAGCTCCTAATCAACTCTAAAACATATTATATTGATATTATTTTTTTAGTTTTTATTTATTCGTTTATTTTTTGTTTTGTTTTGTTTTGTTTTGCGTTGACCAAAGCATAGAACTTTTCGGTTGGAAACATAGCTTGCAAAGCAGGCGTTCTTGCAGATTTGGTGGAAAACCGGTGTTTTCATGGGGGTAACTTTGGAAATTTGGAACGAGCGAGAATTGAAACCTCCCCCCACGTTTCCTTATTTTCCTAGGTCCCATTTTTCTCGCGTGTGCACGTAGTCGTAACAGGAATCCCAAAACACTGATTCTTCCTCAAAACCATCAAAAGAACGCCTGCTCTGCAGTCTATTGGAAACACTGAATTGGAGGAGAATGACGCAATGTCATCTGCATTATAAAGCATGATGTACATTTATGAAGTCCGTCTAGAAGGCAATTGACATGCAATACAAATAACAGCGGATGCAGGATTGTTCCTTGAGGAACCCCGACAATCATGGCACATGTTCATCGTCTGAAAGAGTACCATGCATGCCTACGACC